TAATAAAGCAAAAGTGAATGACAACAGACCACATTTTGTCTAATCTCTGTAAAATAAGATATACATGTACGTTGATAGATACGTACAAAGTCGTAGAGGTGCCTAATGATGCATCACACTGAATGTCAATTCCACTTTTCATCACGACACGGTGTCCCTTAATAGAAAACCAACACTACAACTATAGCATCAATGCTACATACAGCTCTGGAAAAAAATAAGAGACCACTGCACAATCATCAGTTTATCTGGTTTTACTATTTATATGTATGTGTTTGAGTAAAATGAAAATGTTTGTTTTATTCTATAAACTACTGACAACATTTATCTGTGTTGGAATTCAGCAGACACTGGAATGGAATGGCTGCTTACTGGTAGAGATTGAGATTTAAGAAAAATGTGGATTGGTCTCTTCATTTATTCCGGAGCTTTATAACCCTGTTAGAATAAAAACATTTGACCACATCATTTGTACTATTGGTCCTGATTGCGTCTGTAGATAAAGTTATTTAGCAGAAAAGCTCACTCTACCTGACCCTGCGGCATCTGAAGGAAAATGAGGTTGACGCAGGACACAACAGAGCAATCAATTCTCAAATTAAGATCCCATCAACTTGTCGTCCAATCCAATGAATGAATAAATCAGTAACTCAGTCAATCAATTCACCACCTCTTGATTGCTTCCTAGAAGTCTCCCAACGCTTAAATCAATATGTCCTTAGAGCAAGCTTTGGACTCCCCAATGGGTTATGCTGTAAACACAATATACTGTATGATCTTCCATGCCTGAAGAATTCTAAGAAATGTCAAATTAAAGTCTGATAATGCAGTGCCATATGCCTTTTTTATACTGAATTGATCATTTATCCAATTGTAGAGAATATAACCTTTATTGACATGTGGGTGAAGGATGAAAATATTGTTTCCCCTACGCTAACATTTTACCTTCCATTTTAAAATCAGCTGCTCTTTACCTTCCACTGAAGAGCTTTAGGCAAAGGATACCAGGCTCACACTTCCAGATCATACCCCAATCCACACACTGACCCTGACACGCTGAAAACAACCTGAACCCCCTCCGCTTCACACTCTCAAAGTCACATTTGTGTTATGGTGCACTAACCAGAAACTATTGCAGGGACTGATGGTACAGTTGGCCCCTTTCAAGAATACTGCCTTAACTGCCTTTAAACCTTTAGCTGTTGACTTTGTTGTGGCACAATTCCATTGAAATTCCATGTACTGTATGGAACAACTGGTTCAACCTAAATGTCTAACATTTGAGCGAGTGTGGCACAGGACGTAGAGCTGTCGTCCACCAATCAGAAGGTAGGTGGTTTGATCCCCAGAACCTGCAGTCAACATGTCGATGCGTCCTTGGGCAAGATACTTAACCCCCAATTGCAACGGTAAGTGAATATTAGTTAAGGTGTCACCATGTTTGGAAGACTCTGCCTGTATGCATGTGTATGAATGGGTGAAAAGTGCTAGCCTATAAATGCCCTTCATTTACCATTTAACAAACTGGCACAGTATATTACAGTAAGTATATTCTTAATATAAAAAAAATACTTGTTTGTTTTATTTTCTGGACAACATTGAGTGTTGGACCTTCATTTTGACAAATGCCAAGGTTACATTTAGTATCAAAATAACAATGTTACCAGGAAAAACTGAAATTGTAAAAGACAAAGACAAAAGGAATACATCTAGAATGGGTTGGGGTCCACAAGCTGTCACAGTCTGCTCCCTCACTCACCTATTTTCTGCATTAGCATTTCTCAGTCACCTTAGTCACCTGGTAGTCACACCCTGTTTCTCTCTCACACTCTGTTACACCCATCAGCTCCACTAGTATATAGGCCCCCTTCACTCTCACCTCAGTGCCAGATCGTACTTCGCAGCATGCAGTTCTTTCCAGCATTACCTCCCAGATTGCTCTCCCGGTTTCGACCTTGCCTGCCCCTGACCAGCCTGCTTCGCCTGTTTCCTGACCGTACCTGTACCCGGATTATTCTGCCTCGCCTGCTCCCTGACCCTGCCTGTACCTGCGTCTCCAGTCTTGCCTACTCCTGGAACCCTCGCCTGTCCTCGACCAGACCTTTGCCTACTGTCTGCCGGTTTGTCTTACACCAGAACTTTTCTGTGGAAACAAGTTTTAATAAAGCTGGTTACCGACTTTCCCTGGTCTCTCGTGTGTTGCATTTTGGTTCTCAGCTCGTTCAATCGTGACACAAGCATAACATCTGAAAGGAGTCTTTCTGAGTTTGGAGTTGACAAGAGGAAGATGAAGTGTATCACAGTCCTGAGAGCGTGCTTGAAAAGTGAAGTTATGTAAATTAGTAATTTGTCTAGGAGTGCTAACTAAACATATTATGGTCTTTGCCACACTACAATGACATGTTTAGAACAACTGGTTCATACCTTGTTATGCTTTCTTTTTCTTTCTTTCTTTCTGACAAAAGAAAGGAATATGTGTTAACAGCACACAACTGTGTGTATTTGAATGCTTCACTTCCCATATCCACTGTAACGTGAGTTCTAAATGGTCTCTTTCACATTTCAATTGGGTTATTCACATTTCTACCTTCATCACACACACACACACACACACACCACAACACACACACACACACACACACACACACACACACACACACACACACACACACACACACACACACACACACACACACACACACACACACACACCACACACACACACACACACACCACACACACACACACACACACACACACACACACACACACACACACACACACACACACACACACACACACACACACACACACACACACACACTTCCCACATAGTTGCCCGTTACTGGTAATAGACCGCTACATCGTAAACTGTCTTTCCAGTAATGGAAAATGTGTGTGTTTCTGAGCATGTGTGCAAGTATTCACTACACTAAATCATGTCTCTCTTTAAATAAAATATCACATCTAATGAGATTTTCCTTTGTGTTAGCACCCTGGTCTCTATTGCTTCAAACTCATATCCGGAATGGACTAACAACCTCATAGTAAGGCTTCTGGTAAGCAGTTATTTTAAGTATACATATTGCATATTGATAGTAAAGTAGTATAGTGTGACAAATGAACACGTCAGTCAGAATTTGTACATACTTCATGGACCCATGAACATGTATTTAAATTATTTATGGACCTTATCAAGTAAGTGGTTAAATAGGAAATGTGATTGCGCAGTGATTTATAATCAGTTTTTAATCTGTAAAACATTTAAGATCGTTTATATTCTTTCTGCACAAAAATGATGGAATGCAGTGTGATCCATGTGGATTTACTACAATTAAATTGTATCTTAAAGCTTTTGCCCTGTTGTTCTCAATATCACCAAGCCCTTTGGCTCTCTCACACACACACACACACACACACACACACACACACACACACACACACACACACACACACACACACACACACACACACACACACACACACACACACATGAAAATGAATACCTTGTATGTCTGTGTCATGCTTTTACCCCTTGAAATGCAATACTACAAAGGTGCAATTCATTAAAAATGAAAAAAATAGATGTTGTCCAGTAAATAAGGGTTAGGGTTATCATTTTAGTCTTGTTAGCATCGCATGATTACAAGATGATGTAGCTTGTCTCAAAATTAAGTGAAAAAATATCCATAATAACAATAAAATATCTCATCTTATAATCATCACAGTCAGTTTTGAGTCACATTTATAAGATACAAAAATGTGCAATAAAGAAATACACAAGAAGGTGAAGGTCTCCAATTGATTTATTTTCTGATAAATGATGTAGCTCCTTAAAAAACACATGATCTTCAGTTGTCTATGTATTGTGCTTACAGCAGATGAATTCCACAAAGTCAAAGAGGAGGCAGATTGAAATATCTCGACGGAAATGTGAATTTTTCACGCATAAAATGGTTGTTCCACATGTAATAAAAGTGTTAAATGTATTCGAGAGTGAAACATTCATCATGCACACGTGTAAAATTAATGATGGTTGAATTCCATTGAGCTGTTTCATGATCCTGGTATTAATAATTGTGACCACCACTGTCTCACTTTCATGGTTTACTGGGACACTCAAATAGAACAGAGAAATGTTTTACGTTATAACTAACACTGGTGCATTTCCTACTAGACCAAGTCAACATGTCTTTAAAAAATGCCTGTTGTCTTTTATTTTTTGTCTTTTTGGTGCATCACATCCCTATTGCCTACTTTTTGTATAAATTCCCATTTTCTTATAAAAGTGTGATGTCAGGGAATGAAAATAGTTGCATTTCAGCTGTTGAGGTCTTCTTTAAACTAAAAGAAACACGTGTAGAATAAAACAATCTAAAACTACAAATTAAAAGAATGGATGAAAAATGTATCAAACGACACTTCTTTAAGTTTTATGACTTTCACCTGTTGCTGAGTCTCCAAGCACATACAAAAGAGCTGTGTGTTTCTATTTCATAACCCTTTGTGCTAAATGCAGAGATAACATTTATTTTTTGCAAGCAGCAAATAAAATCATCTGAAAAGTATGACAAAACCTGATTTAGGTAATTACTGTTTCATAGATGATTTTTCCATTCTTTAATTAACACGATTAGTTTTCAATGTCTTAACTAACAAAAAGCTAAAACATTTTCCCTTAATTAATCCATTTAACTCCCCTAACATTAGATATGGCTAATTTAACAGGACTAGCCCTTTAAAGAAGTCCTATAAAGGAACAGTCCATTTCACAAAAAATGGGGGAGTCAGTCACTGCTTCGTGAGATTTAGACATTTAAACACAAAAACCTACGTTATAAAGAAAATTGAACCATTAACTTTCAAATTGCTATAACGCTTGAATGTCTCACTCTCTGAAAACAAACATTTAATGGTTTAATGTTTTCACAAAAAAGACGTTCTCCCCTTTAGGGCTTTTCTATTAATAGCATCAGCTGTTGCAATACAAAGATTAGCTATTCAACGTATTGTTTCGCAGATGTGGGGAGCACACTCCCGTCTGTGGCGAAAGGGCGGCGGTGGTTTGAAGCCGAGAAAGAGGGAGATGAGGAGGAATATGTCGGTGTGAGGACGTCTCTTTGTGCTCACGACAGCGAAACTAATATCGGTAAGTAGCTTTCCTGCTGACAGAGAGAAGGTCGTGAATGCGGGCGTCTGTATTCAGGGACAGTGAAGGCAACACCTAGCGTTAATGTAAAACTCCTCTCTGTGTATCAACAATTTACTCTCGGCTAGCTAACTGTCACCGGGGTTTTTGACTAATGACAGCGAGGTAAACAGTCAAGGGAAGTTAGCTTGTGTTAATTGAGAGTCTGAACGACTGAATTCAGTTTGCGGAAATTCCTTTTTGCTGCAAACTTCACGAAAAAAGATGAAGCAACCGAAATCCGTTATTCAGGGGCGGCTATTGTCGGTTCTCCAGACCGCCGCTCACACTCAGGACACGGGCCTTGCCTCTGTGTGTCAAAAATGTTCCCCGAAACAAAAACACACTGTCTCTTACCTTATGTGAGGGATATTCATGAAAGCTTCCATTGTATTTTTTAACCCCTCGGTGTTTTTGTTTTTTTAAACAGCAGCATATATACACATCGGTGTTCAGCTCTGAGGGAGAAACGTGTGCAGATTTAACCGCTGGACACACAGAGAACAGAGGGATTCTTCATGTATCAAATCATAGGATGAGATCATTCAGAAGCACCTCATACCCCACACACACACACACACACACACACACACACACACACACACACACACACACACACACACACACACACACACACACACACACACACACACACACACACACACACACACACACACACACACACACACACACACACTTTAATCACTATTTATAGCAAAGTGAAATCACTAGTTCATTTGGCTTTCATCATAACTTCATAGAGATCTTAATCCCTGCTGCTGATGGGGATGATGGTGGTGATGATGATGATGATGATGATGGTAGGTGTAGAACATTTCCCCAAAGCTTAATTTTGACCTTTGACCAGGGAATTACCCTCTGGATGATTGGTGGAGCGAAGTTTCCCAGATATGCCATTCATCTATGCAAGGCTTGTATTGCACATGATTGAATGATGATTCCTATGAGATGCATGTTTATGGGGTTCTATAGGGGACACCTTTTGAGGTTTCTTGGCAAATGTTTGGCATATAAAGTGTTGTGAATCAGACTTGTGTGACCATAGGGTATTTCAAATATGAGTGTTAACAGGGAATGGAATGATAAGGTAATGTACTTTTATTCCATAATATTCCAATCCTAAATTGTCCAAATGCTTTTTGTGGGTAAAGGGATAGCCTACCCTTTCAGATAGAGACAAAGGACAGCCAAAGGACAGCTAAGATAAAGTGTTTATTTCTCTTGTGTTCAAGTTTCACTACATGTTCAAATTGTATTCAAGGTCAGTCTTTGTCAAATCTAATTTCAGAAGACCTGTATCACAAAACATGTTAAGCAAACTGTCTTCACTGTTTCTGATTTGGCTCTAATATTTATTTTTGTTCAACAGATTGGATATGTCCTAGTTTCACAGTCTGTTGGGTTCTATATTCCTAATTTTTCTATCCAAAGAAATCCACTTGACATGGTGTCTTTTGCTTTGTAACGTAGACATTTAGGTTTGGAGTTTGCCTTAAGTTTTGACGCAGGTATCCTTTATGTCATTTAGCATTCTAGCCAATTGATGTTTTCTTATTTTGTGCATCTGTAGTCTGCCTCAAAATCACCCTGATGATTTCATCTCTTTTTGGACTCACTGGTGTCCTATAGTAGTGTCAACTCATTTATTCAAAACAATAGATTGTTTCATTATGTAAGACAGTACTCATCTATAAGTAAAACAGAGACACCATTAGTTCTTACAATTTCAATCAGAGCTTGTTCAAAATCATACAGAAAACAATTATTTGTAAAATAATAACGTGATGTTCATTTAATGTCGGTATTGATTTACTGACGGCCCAAAAATCAACTTTGAATTATTTCCTTGCATGGCAATATTATAGAAAACATAAAGGCCACTGTGTACTGTGTTGATTTATATACCTACCGCTGTAATTAGTATATTGATAATGTTATTTAGTTCTTGAGCCCTGCTTGACTGCTGTCAGTGGTGTCTAATGTGTATGAGAAATATAGTAGACTCCTAGTAGGGTATGTGATTGTTTTCGTTTGAATTGATAAAGATTGAATGACAAAGTGTTTTGCAGTTAAATTACAGATCGGTCCAATTACAGTAAGAAGTACTCCACCATTCCTTCTTATTCATTCACATCCTGTATCCTTGTTGAAATGTCCAAACATCCAGAAAAAGAGTGAATAATTAGAGTGGATAAATGGAAAGGTCAGAGTAGGAACTGCCCCCAGCAAGTCACATTACATAAGTGAGTTATTTGGGTTGTGTGTATGAATGGCAGCCTTATCTACAGAGAATGTTCAAAAATGGCATAGTGTTATGAAAAAAGCCATAAAAGTAATTTATGGCTCAATGAGTTCTCAAATAATGCTGAGAGAGTCAAGTTAGTCATTGGTGATGACCCACAGTCATGTGATCATCTGCACAGACCTCTGTTAGGCTGCGTGCACTTTGTTCTCTCTGAATGTTGCAAAGGGTCTTACAGATCGGGAGTGGTTGAGGAATGAGTCCTAAACACGTAAATGGGTTAGCATTAGCACTACCAGGCTCTCTAGTCTCAAAGTCATTTGTTTTGGGTTGGATTCCTAAAATAAGGTGTGTGGTTAATACAAGTTTACGAGATTTTCACATTTTGTTATGACATAAAATACATCAGAAAATACCACCCTGATGAACATCTGGAGTTTTGTGTGTCTTCAAAACTGCGGTTACTGTCACGTGACTAAATGAGACTTCTAAACGTAATCACTCCGTACGTTAGCCATCTTTAGCTTAGCGGTGTTGACGTGAAGCCATGCGACTCTGATGTTATACGTTTCTAGCCTAACATTAGCTAGTATTTCCACTTGAATTATTATATAAGTGGTGTCAATATGTGGAAATTATCCTGCTGAACAAAACGTGTAAGTATCATAATCATAAGTGTGTGTGTGTAACACATATCCTCATTTCTGCAATATTCCAAAATCGAATGGAAAAGTCCCATTTGCTTTTAGTCAGGCGAGCCATCGCCATGCTAACTTCTGGGCGGCTCTAGACAAATAAGTCGTATCTACACCACTATAATGTCTGTCATTATGGGAGAAAATGGGATGAGGGGGCAAGCTAATATAGCTTATCTCATTGTCTGAAATAGACCACATCATTCAGTTCTGAGCAAAGAAGTTGTTCAAATTAGACCTGAAATAAGGCTGGGTGAAAAATCAAATCTAACATTATAGACCAAATACCCTGATGTCAATTTGACAAAAGTGTTGGGTTTACCATCGATGCTTTCACAAAATAGTTATATAAATAATAAATCAGTAATATGGATTTAATGACAAAGCGTACAAAGGCAAATAAGAGAACAGCTAGAACAGTCTCGTAAATCCAGAACAATGACATAACTTGACTGTAATGCAGCCGTTAAAACCAGAACAATTAACACTTATAATGAATCAGAATTGTATCAATATCACAAAATGGACTAGTGCAATATCCAAATTGCAGTGAGTGAAATATTTGGTCAAAGCACGACATGTTATCACACAGTATCATAGCTTACTGCTGCTAAAATAACCATCAGTTTGAAACACTTCTTGGTAAGGAAGTTAGCATCTTACTGCACATTCAAGTTGTATCGAACTTGTGTAGGAGACGCTAGAGATGTACTCTTTCAACAAAAGAGACATGTTTTTTTGTGAAGGTTACATCTATTTAGTCATTGTATTGCCATGTTGGCAAGCAGGGTGACTGTTTGAGTTATTCTGTATAAAGTGCACATTATTCTTTACTACATGAATATTGCCAATATTGATGCTGGTAGAGAAATGGCAGGTTCCTTTGTCTTTATCTTGGCAGACACAGATAGCCCCTTACAGCCAGGAACCAGAAACCCCCTGGTCCCAGGTACAAAACCCAGTTTAGCCAAAAAGTCAGTCATTGAATATTTAGGAAAATATAGATTTTGATCAACCATGCCGCATTTCATACAATTAAACTATCCATTTTTGAAAAGGTTTCATAAGTCTAAAGCTAAATAAAAGCTGGTCTCAACCCCCCCCCCCCCCCCCAAAAAGAGTTTGTCGGCAGCTTCAATACGTTTTGAACTCAATGGACTGAGTCTTAACACATCCTTTGAATGATCGATGAGTGTTCCCATCAGCGCTACAGTAGAGGCCGGGGCGTGCACCGCTGGGTTCCTCCTTATTCCTTTTCTGTGAGATGTTTTGCTGCTTTGTTCCCGTGTGAAGAGGGAAGTCCCTTTATCCTTTCCCAAGGAAACAACTCGCCACTTCTCAAGAGTCCAGAGTGGCTTTATGGAGTCATGGTGAGGACAACATACAAAACCACACCAGATGAATATTTCAAACCCTACATAGAGTAATGTCCATGTTAGGTAGTTGATGTGATGATTGAAACAATATGTCACTAGTCCTATAGCAAGTGAAACAACATACAAAAGCAGTTGTATATTTAATGATTTACATGTGTTGTGGTCCCATAGATATGCCACACTGCTGCGTGTGTGCAAGACGTCCAAAACATTAGGATATAAATGTAATTGTGGTTAACCGATATCAATAAGAGTCGCAGTGATTAGCTTGGCTTCTTCTACAGAAATGTGGTTTTAGATTTCTAAATTGTTTGACCATTTATGTTGTGATGCAAAATAGAATCAGCTGGATTTTGTTGATAAAGTGCAGCAATTTGACTCCAGAGTTGGTAGTGCAAACCCCAAAGCTGTTGTTAGTGCACACCCCGGCCTCTACTGCAAAGATCATGGTTTTGGGTACATTTATATAAATATGTTGTATCTCAAGCTTCAAGTAAATGTGGTTGTTCTCTGTATTAAATTAAAACCTTAGTATTTCTCTGACCAGGTGTAAATGTTTCCTTAAAACAATTGTGTTTTTGCAAATATAAGTTGTATAAAAATGCAATGTCTCTGAGACAAGTAACCAAAAATACATATGTTAATAACCACACTTCCATAATGACATATGACATCATAATCAGTAACAAAAAGGGCAAAACTCGAGTTCCATTTGTCTTGTCCGTTATGCACAAAACTGCACTTTTAAGAGGGATTTTACATTTTTTAGAATGGCTGAAAGTCCAGGGGTGGTAAATGCCAGTTTAGTGTGAATAAAAGGCCAAATACAAGAGTAAAGGTTCCAGACTCAATGGCATCATTGTAAACACAGTGTTGTGTGTACGATACTTAAAGCTTGTCCTCATGCACCCTTGGTTGTCCCTCTTAAAGAACACATTTGGAAAGCCATACAGCCACATTGGTCTGATGACTAACTTTAGTTGGGCACATATTTTCCTCTACCAAGCTTCCACTCTGAAAGGAATTTGGTTTGAGCCAGTGTCTGTGGATTATTTGAGTTTCCCAAACGGTGAGTGGTGTTTCAGAGCTGTGCCCTCCAACACGTAGACTCACAGAAGGAAACGCTGACACACCATACGTCAAGGTTATGACCTGACATAGCTACAGGCATGGTGTGAAAGCCCCACTGGTAGCAGGTACTGTGACTTCCCAGTGCTTCTCAAGCTGTCCTGTTTTTGCTTTTCTGCACGGCGTTGAAAATCTAAGGCGGTGTCTCGTGAAATGGTATAGCGGCGTAGACATATACTTTGTGGCTTTATGACAGCCAGCCAACCCGAGGCATTTTAACGCCAGGAATTTGGCTCGGAAATTCTTTGCCCAACCTGGCTGACTGACTGCTTCAAAATGACCGACTGGCTTTGGAAAGGAAGGAAACATCTTCCTTCCCTCCATTGTGCTGGGCAGGAAAAGATGGACTGCAGCCAGCTGACAGCTGTTTCCTGGTGGATGAAGGAGGAATGGGTGCGTGGGTGGATGGGCGGGTGGCTGCTGTTGGTGTTGTGCTAGTAGTGCGTGAATGGGCTTTCTTTTCTGCGTGTGACTGTTGGTACAGTTTCATGAGAACTACAAATCTGAAGGAATAGCTGAGTTTTATTGCAACATTTTAAAAACTTTTATTGGCTTGACTAGTAAACACAAGGCCTTATGAAAGGATTGAATGCATTTTATTCCTCAAAAACATAAACAAAAAAAGATGTTTACGAATAATTGAGATTATTAAAACGTTATATCCCTGTTTGCTAGCTGACAGTCTTTTAGCATAATAGTGTGAAAGAAGCAGCAAGACCGTGTTGTCGGTTTGCCACCGTGCCAATATGCACTTATAAAACATTGTTCAGTAGCACTACGGTAACACTACGGTCAATAACTGTACAGGATACCTTTAAGCTAGCTTTATTTGATTGACAGTTCAACTTTAACCTGCTTCAACTCAGATTTTGTGTTGCAAAATGACTGTGTGCCAGTTTCAGTTGAGAGACAAACCCACCCTAAGGTTGTTGTTGTTTAAGCTTTTTAATAATTGTCCTTCTCCTAATAAGATCATTTTAAAGGAGCGTTATTATGCGTTTTGGGTTGTCCTCCCTTTCCTGTAGTGTGTTATAGTGCATTGAAATGGTCTACAAAGAATACAATTCCAAAGTTCCCTCCACAGGGAGTTTCTCTCGCACATATTCCATAAGAGCATCAGATTGCATTCAATTCTACATATACAGTATACATAAAGCTTGCATGTCATTTCCCATATTGCTTTGAACCATACAGGACAGTTTAAATGCGGAATCAGATGTTTCTAAAGTACTGTACACACTGCTCCCCTGAGGTGTGTGAATGCAGCTGAACCATTTGCTCATTTTAAAATAGATTTGGTTTGAATGCACTACTGTACTTCCCTTACGTAAAAAAGAAAAACCCTCTTCTGTTAAACCTCTCATCCTCTAGTCAGATGTTTTCAAAAGGCCATAATTACAAACTACAGTTAGCCATCGTATTTCTCTGCTGGTTCTGCGGTTATACTTATTTTCTCAAAGTAGACGTCATTAGCATGGTTTCTGCTCCGAGGCCAAACCAGGCTTTCTGTGGCTTTCCTCAGCTGCTTCTCCTCACAGTTGTGATGTATTTATTCTGTGAGTGGCTTTGATTAGAGCCAATCACGCCAGAACAGTATAAGTGGTTTTATATAAAGCTGGTTGCCTAAACCCTCTTCTCAAAGCAGTTTGATCGTGGCTGCTGCTCTTGTGTCTTTACAAGAAATGTCAGTGTACAGAAAATATGACGATAATGCTCTCCTCCATAGAAGTAAGGCGCTAATCTTTATGACGAATGCAGCTGCATTTCCTGTAGCTGCCTCTCAATACAAGCTGTTTGTGGTTTACCAGTGGAAAGCTTTTAATATGAGGCAGCAGCCACACAACACACTTAAGCTCTAACAAGCATGGAACCTACTTTTGATTTCTCATAAAACATTTGGCTTTTTGTTCATTTTCATTTTCATTTCAAACCTTTATTTATTCAGGTTGTATCCCATTGAGATCATTGACCTCTTTTTCAAGGGAGACCTGCACTTTTTGAATGAAATGAAAAAAGCAAAACACAAATGTACTCAAGGGGCATAACATAAATACATAAATACAATAAAGATATTTATAAAAACTTCAGAAGTTAAATGTCTAAAAGAAAAAAGAAAATAGAATAATTATATTTTTATAAACATAAGAAGTTAAAGTAAAATGTCAATTAAAGGTGGGGTAGGTAATTTTTGAGAAACCGGCTCGAGATCGCTAGAATTTGAAAATACACAACCGGAGAAAATCTGCCACTTCCTTATAGAGCCCCTCCTCCAACACACACGAACGTGCACATGACCAATGAGGGCACGAGATAAGCTTGTGCACAGATGGAAGGCTGACAGGCAGGTAGGCCATCCAATCATTTTAGCCGGGCCGGCTAAAATGATTGGTCGTGCTTTTTACAGTATTACGGCTTCCACAGATGACATTTTTTTATGGATTTTTTGTCAAAGCACTTAAGATATTCATTGCTATCGGGATGTTAAGAGCATTCCATGGAATATAACAAAAAGTGTATCTCGAGCCGGTTTCTCAAACTTACCTACCCCACCTTTAAAAGATAAATAGTATAAAATAGAATAAAACGATTTAAATGATATAAGAAATTAAAGTAACATTGTGCAATTAAATGAAACAATAGAATACAAATATTTAATTAACACAAGAAGTTAAAGTCAAATAAAACAATTAAAATAGAACATAAGGATTTAGAGTAACAATTTGCAATAAAAAGATAAAACAAAATACATTCAAGATATTTATATAAACATAAGAAGATAAAGAAAAAATGACCAGTAAAATAAAAAATAAAATAAAATACACATATTTATAAAAAAGTAGAAATGTGCATATTGCACTATAGTATATTACAATATATAACACATACTATTATATGAGAAGTTACTCTTCATTTTGGATTATTCCTATAATCAGATTGTGCATGCTGACTTCCACCACACAAGATCATATTGGTAAAACAAGCCATATAACCAATCCAGTGTCACTGAACTTCAGTCAATATATTAGTCCAAGCCACTCCATATCAGCTTCTTTGTAAAAGATGTGTTATTCTTACATCTTTCTGCCATTTTTTCAAATTATGTACAACTGTCATCTAGTTTGTTGTATTTCTCTGGTGGGTGCAACACTGTAACTGCTTTATTTTGTCTGTATTTGGCCCCACATCTCTGCCTTGATCCATAACTCCTATCTGTGGTCTCCATGGCGATAAAAAAGCAGCTGCAACAACCTCGCTCCCTCTGTCTGTTGTCCCCTGCTATTGTTAATCCCTTTATTCTTTCTTTCCCCCCCCCCTCTCTCCTCCATTTCAGCCAGGTGTGTCTCCTCAGCTACCTCCTAGCCTTATTCTTCTCACCTTTCCCACCACTGTCGAGGTAGCCATGGCGACCAGCGCACTGCCAAGTGACAACCTGCCAACGTACAAGCTGGTGGTGGTGGGGGATGGTGGTGTCGGGAAGAGTGCTCTGACCATCCAGTTTTTCCAGAAGATCTTTGTGCCGGACTACGATCCCACGATAGAGGACTCGTATCTGAAACACACAGAGATAGACGGGCAGTGGGCCATACTGGATGGTGAGTGGAGCAGCATGTCAAGGGGACATTCATTTTGAAAGTGGAGAACAGTCCTGCCTCTGTTTTTTACAACATTAAATATGCCAATAAACAGCCCACTGGTGAATGTGTGAAGCTGGTAGAGATAGGCGGACAGTGGATCACACTGGAAGGGGTAGTAGAAAGAGAACATAACATCAGCTGCTGGGAATTATAGTACTAATAGAAACAATCCGTTTTTAAACAGGTCACATTTACAAAACTGCACACTGTCCTTGTTTAATGAATACTGCAAACTGGATCAGTTGCATTAGAAAATAAATGTACCAATGCTTTTGTTTGAAGGTTTTGGCATTTTTTATGGTTTCCATTCATTGAGTCAAAACAGACATTTGGGTTTTTAACAAAGAACAAACAAATGAAACACCAAATGGGACGGCAGGAGCCATGGTATAGGAAAAGCAGACCACATAGTATACTACATGCTCATACAAGACCTAGAGTACAGTATGCTCAAAGCTATAAATCCTCTGTTTGGATTTTGAATGAAAAGGGCTGTAAAAGAGAAACCCTTTCATGTAAAGTCATACATTTGTATCCCTCCTTCCTGGCAGTGCTGGACACAGCGGGCCAGGAAGAGTTCAGTGCGATGAGGGAGCAGTACATGAGGACAGGAGACGGATTCCTCATCGTCTTCTCTGTGACGGACAAGGCCAGCTTTGAACACGTCGACCGGTTCCATCAACTCATACTACGGGTCAAAGACAGGTAACAGCAGAAACCTCTTTTCTCCATGCACACAACCAATGAATATTAAGGTATGATTCTTATCGTGTATACAAAACTCCTGTTTATTGACTTTTATGTAAACTACTTATTTTTACTAATGCAGAAAATCAAAGAATACTGGGGGCCCTGAGGGCTCAACAAAATATCAAATGGACAACACGAGAAAATAAAGAAATACCCTTAACAGTTTAACAGCACGTGAAGCATTTAGAAAAATCACTGCAAATAGAGAAGCTCACAACAGAACATTACTGTTTCCAGGGGATATTACAAACTGATGCACACACCTGATACACTCTGGTTGTTGCCATTGCTCTTGGCTTATGAAGTGATCACATTTTGCTAACCATCATTGTGACAGCATGATTAAAATACTTTCATATATATAATATATAGGTTGGTTAAGATGTTTCTTCATTTACTTGCATTGAAGTATTCAAGCTAGTTGTCTTTATTTGCAGTATGTTGAATTTAAAGGTTGATGGTACCTTGACATTTCTTATAGAGAACTCCAGCCCAAAGACATAACTTGAAATGGGTTGTGTGTGGGAAGGTGTGAACAAAACAGCTGCAAATGTTTCCACATGTAAGAAATGTGACATATCTGTCCAACCAGCCTCACATTTAGTTGTCTTTAAACTGTAAATAAACCTACAATGAAGTCCTTGTTTGATTACCCCAAAAATATTTCAAATATGCTATGACATCTGCTTAGCCTCCCCTGTTTCTTATGAAAATATAAAAACAATTCAAATGACTTTGTCTAAATAAAGTATTTTTGGGAAAGTCAATCCTAGCACTTGTTGAATCTAAATAGTTGTTGGGCAGTTTATCTACCCTAATCATTTAGACATAAAAATGAAAGACAATGCACCCAGAAGTTCAAAACAACCAGTACTTTGAAAATCTGTTTTGTAAATAAGGTAAGCTACCATACCCGGAACACAGAATTACAAAAAAAGGAAGTTGCTCTGTCAGATGATTTTTCTTACCACCACTGATGTTGTGTGGGTTTTGAATACAATTTCTGTGATTGGGCTGCACCTATCAAGTTGTTGTCCAAAATGTTGTAACCAGTAGAAATGTTGGCCTTAAAACCTAAAAAAAGATACCAAGTGAGCTCTATCACATTATCCTCTGATGTAGGGAAATACACAATGTGTCTAGCAGTGTCACATCAAAGAATTGTATCTTCATATAAGGCCATCTTTGCCCCCCCTCAGGCCTGTTTGAGTTCTGCTGAATCGGCAGACATGGTACAATCCGAGAGAAGATTTGCATCTGTTCTCTGACAGTGACTGACTGTAGCCAATAAAACTGCTTGAGATAGAACACAAATAGAAACGGGAACTAAGCTAGTTGCTGTGTGTCCACATTTAGAGTTCCTCTCTAGCTTATTTTCCACAAGATTTAAGTATTGCAGAAATCTGACACCTCTCAGACAATTGTGATCTTTCTATTAAAAATGTAAACATATCAACATTGGCTTAAGACCATGAGACACTCTGCAATTGCTTCTGAAATGATTTCATGTAGTTATAAAGGGATACCTGACTTTGTGTGTGTGTGTTCTTTTGCTTTCAGGGAGGCATTCCCCATGGTGCTTGTGGCAAACAAAGTTGACTTAGTCCATCTGAGAAAGATCACCACCGACCAGGGCCAAGAGATGGCTGCCAAACACAACGTAAGCAGTGAATTTGTTTCAGCCTTTTTGCCCTAAACTGATCCCTATAACAACGTTTCTAACTGGAGTTTTTACAAGTGCACATGTAAGGATTGTTGAAAGAAACAGTGAGAGCAACGATCATTGCTCTCACATGTGTGTCCTTGTATCTGAAGGATTTAAATCACAGTCAAACTGAAATCAACATCAAAAGGTTAATGTTGTTTCCACAGCTGCACAGTGGACCATTCTTGAACCAAACAAAAACAAGATCTAAAGAAACTATTTCTAAATGGAGCCCTCTCTGTGTAAACAACAATTTGGTTCACATTATCGTATTCCCGCCATTTTAGTAGAGAGCTCTATCCACACTGAAACACCTGAACATCATGTAATGTGCTTCTTCTTGGCCCTCTTGATTCTGCATCAAAATAATTGGCCCATCGCAGCCAACATCAGCTGACCAGATCATCCAATCTAACATTATAACAGTTGTGCTCATTGATCGCCTATATCGGCGCCTAAAACGCGTGGTCACATAGTTCAAAACGACAGAAAGTTGTCTTTTCTACAAACACATCAGTTGCTCTGCTGAGTGTCATCCTGTTACACATCCATCCAATGTCCTCCTGAACTCTGTGAGGACTTATACTGTGTTTAACCAGCAGTTTTGATCAAATCCTAACTGTAAATGTGTGACGTGGAGTGACAAAAACAACATGAATCCAGGTGAATCACAAAAGCTCAGCTCTGAAGGCATTTTAAATAAAGAATCAAAGTTATAAGTCATCAGCTTTATTGAAGAGACTCTAGGTCCATTTTTAAAAGACATACAACACTCAAATATAAATAAAAAAAGGCAGTTATACCAATGTTTCCACAGAGGTGACTGGTATCGTACAGTACTGAGACAAGGATTTGAAAGCAGCATAATGACAGAATTATGAGAAACATTCAATCGACAGGTGAATTTGTTCATCAGATTCCTCAAGAGAGCATGGAACGTGTTGACTTGTGCATTACAAAACATTTCACTTGCACTGCATAAGTGATTTCAAAGGCTGTCTTATCGAAACAGACACAGCACCTTACCCTCAATGTGCTTATGTCATGTTTTTGCTAAATCTCTTGTGTATCCCTTACACACTGAAACACCAAGCTGACTTTTAAGATTGACACTTAAAATGTCTGGAATGCCTATGGGACCATGATATTGTTATCTCATCCCATTTTCACTGCAGTTCTGCCAGGATAGCCTGATATTGCTGTTTGACCTAATGTCAGACTATATTAAAACAAGTTTCATTAATTAGCCCTTTCTCAGACTTTGTGAACCTGGTCTGACAGAGGGCTGAAAGTGAGAAAAAGAGGTGTGTTACAATTTGTCTTAATTCTGACGTACTCTCAGTAAACGCACCACGACCATTAAAAGAGACAGAAGCAGGCAAAAATAACTTTAGAATAAAGCCACAAGCTGTGATACTATCATTTGCACAAAGGATCCCATACAGCATTCACACATTTAACTCACATACAGTTTTCTGTAATTCCAGGGATTTGACATCTTGGGGCTTTTCAAAGTCACACTTTTTCTCTTGAAATCAAAGGCCTCTTTTCAAACTTTTGATGTTTTGAAGTGATCATATGCAGCGAATCAGTGAAAACACTTGGGGCTGTTTCCAAACTGACTATCATCTACCTGTTGAATCAGTACAGTGATTAGCCTGTGATGTCTTTGAAAGGCTGAGGCAACTTGCAATTGTAGCTCTTATGTTCCTTTACCAAATCATATTATGTCTCCCTCTACTTTATATTCATGTAGGTAAACTTCATTCATAGCCCAACCTTATTGATTCTGTGAAAAAGCTGGTATTTCTACAGCGTTGCAGATATAGACTTGGCTTCATCAAGAGCTTCTAGTGGTGGCTCAGTAGGACTGTTTCAAATTCATATGATCTTTATATTTCCCAAAAATAACTTTTAAGTACAAAATAATTGCCCTATTTATCTCAATAAATATCCCACTTTAAGCCTTTAAAATAAAACATGTTCAATGCGGTAAAATAACTCCAGTTTGCCACACAGGAGGCACGCACCTTTTAATAAACATGTACTCTATGTATCTATATCTATATAACATTTACAGTACATGACCACTATTAAACAATACTTTTTTTTCATTTTAAGTATGATGACGTAAATAAATATGACAGACATCTAAAACTGAAGTGTTAAAAAAATACATTTCGTAGAGTTCTAGTAGTAATTCCATATTTCAGTGATACCACCCGAATGGCCCTTATGATTGAATTTGTCAGGGTTTAGAGCTGAGCAGGGAGGACGCCAAAGTAACTATCAAGAAAAAATCCTTTATTGCAGGTTGTCCAGGAAATAAAAGAGCTGGGCAAAGCAAGGCAAAAAGAAAAAGAAAGGGAAAAGAAACAGAACTCTCTCTTCAACATCAGACATCAAGAATCTGACAACAACTGAAAGAAACCCAGAACTTAAATACATGCAAGACTAATCACAAGGACAAGCCACAGGTGGGGAGGAAAGAAAAACACAGGGGCATCAGGTGAACTCAATCAGGTAATCAAACTGGAGGGAAATCACAGAAACAGGAAGTAAAAACAGACCTAACACAGGGGGTGAACACTTTTCAAAATAAAGCAGGAAAACGCAGACAGATTGTGAGATTAAGAATAAAACGTATATTGAGATATATTTGAAATATTTCTGCTTTTTTTCCTCCAGATAACTTATATTGAAACCAGTGCCAAGGATCCTCCAATGAATGTGGACAAAGCCTTTCATGAGCTGGTCCGTGTTATAAGGTAACTTCATTCACTTTCCGTTATTCTCTATTCTCTAATAAGGACCCTTAAAACAGCTTGAGAACACTAGTGATTGGCCATTAAGACTCACCCTTTTCCCCCAGTGTGTATTTCCCTTCTTTAGAGATTTGTGGATGTCTTTATGAGATTTTTGTGGAAAAGTAAAAGTCCCGTTGGTATTTCCTGTGTGACACATATGTATCTTCAGAATAATTGGATTTGTGTCCATGTTTTCAATGTGGTCATATCCTGTGTAAATGCCTATTCTTGTTGCAAAGGGTTTTGTCATGTTTAAGAGCCCGGATACACGCGCTGTATTTCACTTTTGAGAGTTCTGATTGTCCTCATGGCAGCTGTTTTGGCACATTATGAAAAAAAGAGGAGGTTTAATGATGGATACACATTGCCCTCTAGTGGTCAGACTGTAGAAAGTCAGTGATACAGTGGTAGGATACAGTTAAAAAACTGGTTGTGTATTTTCTGACTGATCAGAGCAGATCAGGCAGAAAGTGTTTCCATCCTCTATGTACCCTCCATAGGCTGCTTTGAAACCCCCCCCCTATAAAATGTTAATGTAAAACCCAAAGAGGTGACTCATAGTATTGATTGGCTCTGGGTTTAGGATGACTCATTCACAGCCCCAATAATAATCTGAGCTGGATATATTAGTGCAAATCACTGTCGCAGCAAAAACATGCAGTTAAAACGGAAAAATGATGCTTATGAATTTAAGGAAAAATACATTAAAGAGTTTAATGAAAACATATAACCCACTCTCAGTATGAATCCATCTTCATTGTCTAACTATCAGGAGTCAAATAAGCACATTTCCTTCAAGCTGCATCTTTTAGGTGACAGAGGAGGTATAATTAGGATTTTGGTAATTGTTTTTATTATTAGTCAAGTCATTTCTTAAACAAAAATGTCAGAAAATGCCTCTCAAATATGGAAATGTATTAATACATGAGTTTTTTTTATCCTTTTAAAGTTAATATCTTTGGGTTCTGGACTAACGAAACAAGTCACTGAACTTTGTAAAACTCTTTTTTGATTAATCTAGAAGATATTCGTCGGATTTATCTTTAGTTGCAGCCTTTATTTGTGTTAAATTATTCCTTTGTTACTGGCTTCCACCTCAATTTATAACCAATAAGTTGAATGAGCATCCTTAATTATCATGATTAACTTTTTTGTATCTAATGTTAATGTTTTCCCTATTTGTAAAGCACTTTGAATTGCCTTGTGTTGAAAGGTGCTTTATAAATAAACTTGCCTTCCCTTGCCTATTTTATAACTATGATTAGATTACTGCATCGTAAGGGGAACCAAATCCTGAGTTTAGATTATTTGTAACACCTTGTCTTGTATGTCTTCTCTTTGTCCACAGACAACAGCTGCCAGAGCGAAACCAGAAGAAGAAAAAGAAGATGAAATGGAGAGCAGAACGTTCAGCGGGTACCCACAGGTTCCACTGCGCCATATTGTGACCACCCTCGTCCTGTTTACCATTCGTAACACCCACACACACATCCACACGCACGCCCACGTACCTTTGGATGTCAGGGAACTCCCCAGCAGTGGTTAACTACTGGAGCACAAAAGGGAGGGGGATGCCTGGAAGGAGGAGTGAATCTCAAAATGTGGGACTCTTCACAAAGCCTTTGAATGAGCGCTGTGCCCTCTCTCCTCAATTTATGGTCCCTTTTTTAAGGTCTATAAATCCCACCCATCCTCTATTCCACACAGAACAGTTTCACAATGAGGTGTCATTTATTTTTTCATTTCAAATGAGCCACTAGATGAAGGAATCTGGGGGAAAATGATATTGGAACTTTTGTCTTCTTGAAATAGGGAGGACCCGGCTCATTAGCGCCTCGTTTTTTTTACGAAGTAACTCCTGACAAATGGTTCTCACCTTTTATATCCTCACACTCCTACGATATCTGGAAGAAAAGCACCTGTGTGATTTTTAGATATGTTATCATAAGGGCATAATGGAAGAACATGAGAGTAGTGTTGGTCAATTTTAGGGAGTCACTAGGCGTTGTCGGCTGGCAAACAGTGAGTGTGGCGGGACACTTTGCCGTCATGCGATGCTCCGGTTTGGGGAATGTCAGTTCAGAGAGGGACGGAAGGATGTGTCGAAGCAAGCGAAAGAAGGGGACGTGATTAGATAACGTGTTTCATATCGGTCCACAGGTGAGCTCTGTGGTCATATAAGCGCGTGGAATAAGTGTTTAAATATTGTAATTGTAAAGGAGAGTGAGATGGGTTAATGTGGTTACAATATAACGTCAACATAACAGGGTTTATACCAACACTGATGTATCAGCGGCCATGTTTACAGACTTATTAATGGATTATTTCCTCAGCATAAAAACACACACAATATATCAGAGCCATTTTTAAGTGTTTGAAATAATGATTTAGGTTGCCTCTTCAGCCATCAGCAATGGCACGAGTGCAGTCTTTATCAGTACTGTACGGACAATATCCCTATTTGTCTCTTTTTTTAAAGTCTTAAAACAAGTTACTTTCCATGTTTTTGTATCAAATAATATTGAAAAAAATACAGTTATATTTGTGATATTAAAACATATAATCATACGTGGCAATGTAAACAAATTCAATGCTGTTTTACAAAGAGATCTGTAAGCGAATATTAACAAAATATAATAGAAAAGGGATAAAGTGAGTGGCGTGTTTCAGATCTGAAGCCGGCTGGAGAAGCTGATTTGCACTGGCCACTAACCAAAATAATGTGATGTCACTTTATTTCAATCTAGGGGCTTTTTTCAGACCGCACCGCTGAATTCAGGACAATGAATCATGCTCAGCAAAGGAGAACACTCCTTTTGGATACATTCATACTGTAGCCCTGGGAATACATCAGGCTGTGTGTGAGGCTCCGGGGGCTTAAAGCCATTAAAACCTAGCTAATTGTAGGACAAGACACACACTCCAAGCAACAAGACATTGAGTATATCCATGTCTGTCGTCGTGAGGTGGATAGAAATGTACAATTGAATAACCTATGAAATGGCTTGTACTGTTAACGCACTAAAAGTTTCGGTGGACAACTTTTTTTTTGTCTGGATGAATACCGTCTCTTTAAGGAAATACATTTTTGCACTTTTAATACAATTTCAGACTTTCCTATTGGCATGTTGTTTTTCTGTTCAAAAACCTGTAAGTGAAAATGAAAGGCACGGTAAAAAAAAACAACAAAAAATATTTGAATGTAAAATGGAGTAACAAAACAAGCAAATAGGCAATTAGTGTTGTAGCGCTGTGTGCCTGTGTGTATGCCTTTGTGTTGATTGTGACAGATTAAATCCATCGGGATTTAATCATTGGAAAGATATTGAAGGAAACGTTTATATTACTTTGAAAATAAGGAGGTAGAGTATGAAAAAAACTCAGTTATTGAATGGCATACAAATTCACCTCAGCATGAAAGTGGAAAATCAACCTCAGCAAAAGAAGGACATCAGTATAAATCAACATCTACTGTTAAAGGGACTCCGAAGACTTTCAAGTGTCGAACATTGAGCAATGAAGCAACAGACTCTGGATTGTGGGGGAGGGAAAAAACAAAAAAAAACCTGAATGTGTTTGATGAAAAATGTTGCATCATGTATGTTTGATACCATTTTGTATTATTGATATGAATTATTGATATGATTCTTGCAAAGTGTTTTTTAAACAACTGAATAATTTATTACTGTCTATGTTACCTCAGCGTGTCCCAGACCTAGACAGAAAGCTAAACTCACCCCCTCACCCCTTTTTTTGTTTTCTTTGGGGCTCTCAATGGGTCGTAGGCCTTTTGACCTTTGAGCCCCCATATGAAGAGACTTGTAATGTGTCGTGGACCAATAAAGATGAAGGAACCCCGTTTGGTCCTGGAAAAACAAAAGGACCTATTCTTTACTGGAGCTCATGTGGATGGTCTCGCAAGATAAAAATGTTATCACACAAGCGTCAAAACACGGAAAGTTTTTCGACCAATTTGTAACTTTAAATGTTTATTTGTTAAATGTGAAATTTCTTTAAGGTGCAGATTTACATTTTGGGAATCACCCTTATTGACTTTCTTGCTGAAATACATTACATTTTAAGATACAGCCTGCAGTTGTTAGCTTAGCTTAGCCTAACTGGAACGAGATGGAAAAAGCTTATCTGGCTCGTTCTTAAAGTAAGAAAATCAGCCAACCAACACTTCCCAAGATCAGTGAGTGTGTTACTTTTAGTTTGTTGTATCTACAAGTTGTGGATTTCTTTCTTTCTTTTTAGGCTAGCTGTTTTAAGTCTTTCTGCTAAGAGCTAAGCTATGCTAACCGTCATGCGGGCTAACTTCTTGTTTAGTGTACAGAGTAGACACAAGAGCAGTAGCTATCTTCTCGTCTGATTCTCAGCAGAAAAGTTAATAAATGATTTCCAACAATGTCGCACAGTTCCTCGAAGCGGACTGGACTAATTTAACTTTTTGTCTCAGTTCTAGGCTAATTTAACTTTTAGTTTTGAGATCCAAAATACAGTGCACAATGTGAAAGTTACCTTTCTTGACAACACAGTCTCACGGCATTTCGTGTTATAGTCACGAAATTAATCTATTGATTCGTGTTCACCAACACGATTTTGCCATTTTTTTCGTGTCACACAGAACGATTTTAAAAGCAATGTAAATAATAACAAATTAGAAGGAAAAAGACATTTAAAAAAATACAGATTTAAGTATTCTGACAGAACGATTTTAGAAGCAATGTATTTATATTGGTAGTATGTTTCGTGCCTGCACCAAATAATAACAAATTAGAAGGAAAAAAAGATGACATAAAATACAGATTTCAGTATTCTGAGGCTCTGAGCCCCATTTCTTTTCCTCACTGACGGCAAAAAAACTCAGACATTATACAATTTAAAATAAAAGGGATAGGGTTAGGCTTAGGGTAAGATATTGAGTAAGAACATGTTTTTATGAACCACACAGTTTCTGGTCTTCCAAGACCCGACCGGACAAAAAGACGTGTTGCAGGCACGAAACATACTACCAATAGAAATACATTGCATTTAAAATCGTTCTGTGTGACACGAAAAAAATGTGAAAATCGTGTTGGTGAACACGAATCAATAGATTAAATTAATTTCGTGATTTATAACACGAAATGCCGTGAGACTGGAAACCTGCTGATTACTTCACATTTCAGGCAGACCAAATACAAAATGCTGAAAGTGAATATACAGTAGCGTCCTATTGATTATTCGACCCCTGGATTATATGTGAGTTAAATTGAGCACATTTGTTTCATTAAATGGAGAGGTTGCATTCGTTTTCAAAAAAGACACCAAGTATTGTTGGAGTTATGCAATTGATTTGATTAGTGTATGTCCTTTGTCAGTATTTGGCAGTAAGGGCCTTGTTAGGTCTGGATTACAAACAAAAAAAACATTTAGGCTATGGTGTTACACCAGTTGTGTAATGTGTGTTTTTGGACAGGTCTGTTGTGTTCTAACTGGCTGTGTCAGACTGAGGAGCTAGACGAGGCACAAACAAACTGTGGCCTTTTTATCTAGCCTCAGGGGTCGATTATATTTCAATAAAGAAATACAAGTATTGTGACTTTGCATGCTTGACTGGTCTCTGTTTTATTAAAATGCCAAACAACGCTCTAACTGGCTGCTGAACACCCTTGAACTATAGCCCTGCTGAACACAGCCTCACATGTTACTGAGAGGAATCTTGCTTGTTCAGCAGAATCTCACCTCATTAATCTTCAGTGTTGTCAGGGTACATTGATTCCAACACCCTGAGAAGGCTGAAAGCCCAATTTTGCCTCATTGATTTAATCCCCCTGGGGGACATGAGGCAGGTAGGATTTGATTGATTTACATTCATGTTCTTTCAGTGAAATTGGTCAGGAGCGGTACTACCGAACATGAGACGAGACGACGAGACGCAAGAAAGTGTTCAGACTTATGAAAAAAGTATGGATATCATTTTACTTGAGTGGGAAAACGTCTGACTGTATTCAGAGTTTCATATTTTATGTAAATCAGCTTAAAAATGTCCTTCACTTTCACTTTTGGTTGACAAGGAGCATTGCTTATACATTAGTATACTCAGCAATACTGTGGCCAAGGTAGCATCACTAAAGATGCTAAGGGGCCAGCAGATTAAAACCAAAGTCCTTCTGAAAAACTATGCATTTTCCATCATTAGAGGAACCAGGAAGTACACAAAAATGTAACACATATTGCCCATACTGAACCTTAAAGTGTCTGTGCTATCTCTGAGTGCTATTCATGGATGTTACCACTAGGGGTCAGCCCTTTGCTGGTTACTTATCCTCTCTTGGACACACAAATGTTTGCACATTAAAGGTGGGGTAGGTAATTTTGGAGAAACCAGCTCGAGTGCGCTAGAATTTGAAAATACACAACTGGAAAAAATCTGCCACTTCCTTATAGAGCCCATCCTCCAACACACACGGACGCGCACATGACCAATGAGGGCATGAGATAAGTTTGTGCACAGATGGAAGGCTGACAGGCAGGTAGGCCATCCAGTTATTTTAGCCAGGCCGGCTAAAATGATTGGTCGTGCTTTTTACAGTACTACGGCTTCCACAGATGAATTTTTTTTATGGATTTTTTGTCAAAGCACTTACAGTAAGATATTCATTGCTATCGGGATGTTAAGAGCATTCCATGGAATATAACAAAAAGTGTATCTCGAGCCGGTTTCTCAAACTTACCTACCCCACCTTTAAGGTAAGGTACGTTTAATGATAAAGCACATGTCAGATTTCAAACTACTTTACACAAGCATTAACATATAAGACAATTTATAAAAGAGAGGGAAACTAAATTGAAAATACTCTTTATTTTAAGGATTCAATATATTATAACATATTTAAATGAACTCAGGAGAAACAATGGTAAATTAGGCATCAATTTGAAAGAAATCAGGACTCAGATGGACAGAGCATAGAAACTGAAAGCTGCTACATGAAGCTTGTGGGAAGAATATTAAGGCAGCAGAATGTGACACAATCCCCTCCAGGGGTGTGCCTGATGGGATCAAATTGTGTCATGTGGATATAATTGGATCTCATGATAAAGCATGGATGGCATGGTCCCTCCGCTTGATACGGAGGCACTGCAGCTATTCTGATTTTGTTGCATGAAGTGATAAAGAGGCGTTCACTGGCTGCTGATATCGAGAGGGATGTCAGACTGTCAAAAAATAAGGCATTTGTATTGCTATTTTTGGTGATGAACACCATTTTTTAAATTAAAACATGTTATCTTTTAAAATGTGTTGTTCGCCACCTGCATTTCATTTTTCAACATTCTCTTTTTTGGAGCTCCACCAGTGTGGCATCTCTCTATGGTGGGTTTTTATAAGGGACAATTTGACTGTAGTTGCGGAAAAGGGCATCAATGAGATTTGTTGTTTTAAAACTGAATTAATCCACCATATTATCAACAGAGTTAAACGAGTGCAGGAGTGGAGAAGAACTTCTGCAACAAATCTGCATACCATAGTAAAATCAAATCAAATTTTAATGATAAAGTTCAATTTGACAAATTACACATTTAGAAGAACCCCAAAAGAAAAATATAAGAAAAACAAAATAACAAGGCAGGACCAGTGCAACAGATGCAGTCACGACTCATGATCCAACCTGCCAGGTGAGAGACACAAACTCTGGAGTTGATTTCCCAGATGCTGAGTTGGCACCATGCGGTTTTCGGACATGAGTCCATTCAGATAAAGAGAAAGCAGGAGATAAGAGGTAAAAGATAAAAGGTTAAAGTCCCCCGAAAGCCTGAGCCAGCCTTAGGCCCCGTCCACACGGAGACGAAAACGACCCGAATTCGATATAAAAAAAGTCTTCCGTCCACACGGAATCGGCTCAAGAAACGTGTCCGTCCACACGAGACCGCTCGACCCGCTGGAGACACTGTAGTACATATGCCGGGCCTGTAAGTGGTGCTGTACATCCGCCACAAAATACACCAAAAGCAGCGAATAAGACCGATGACGATTATTATTATTATTATTATATTATTATTGTTGCTGATGGTTGTGGTAGAGGAGCTGTACATTTTGCACTAAAATCTGTAGCATCGTCAGTAGCGTCTGGAGCACGAACGCAACCCTGATCCGCCATTGTTGTTGGTGTGACGCGGGTGACGCGGGGGTGAGCAGGAGAGGTGGGGAGAGGCTGGGCTATGGCGTCATCGTTTTCAGGAAATGATCGTATAGGGCGTACACACAGAGCTGCAAGCGTTTCGTCCTCAGACCTACCCACCTTGGGAGCCGTTATCACAGGGTATCGGATTCGGGCTCCGATTTCGGCCTCATGTGGACGAACCGTCTATACGATAGAGAACGTTAGCGGATTCAACTGATATCGTCTCCGTGTGGACGGGGCATTAGTTATAAGCTTTATTAAAAAGGAAAGTCTTAAGCCAGGCATCCTCAAAGTCCGGACTCCGGTCCGGATCCGGACCGAACCACAACTGTCTCTGGACCCCGAGCAAATTATACTTTTCATATGCATTATCTGTATTAGCTGCGAGACATCGCCACAATGCAACGAGTCAAAATTCTCCGCTATTTCCACTGCAAACAGCGCTCTGCAAGTCTGCATGTTAGACTGTTCCATTAGGCTTGTTTGAGACGAGCTGCGGCTCGCCTCGAAAGTAGACGAGAATAGCCGATCGCAGCCTGGGGAGGTCTCAAAAAGCTCGCCTGAAGTCGGACAGCTCGGAGTCGGCTTCTTCTTCTTCTCTCGGTTTTTTGGCGGATTGCAAACAACTTTAAGGTGCATACCGCCACCTCCGGAGTCGGCTTGACTCGGTTTGCATTTATAAAGAATGCACAAATGTGTTTAATCGTTAATGTCA